CAAAAAAAAAAAAAAAAAAAAAAAAAAAAAAAAAAAAAAAAAAAAAAAACTGATCTTTTTGATCTCCTGATCAAAAACCCAGGGATGGGGAGGCCATAGGCCACAGTGAAGACTCACTAGTGTTTAGCTAAAATTGACATAGCACTAAATTGCACTTTAACTATTTACTTATACCTACAGACAAATGCTATTCCTACCCTCTATCAAAGAAACCCGTCTTTGCAGAGACTAGCAGGGAATGCATAGACTCATGCCTGCTCAAGGTGCTGAAAATAAGTGATGACTGACTGCTCAACCCTAAAGGGCACCCTTATACCATACCCTTTAATGTTCAGGAAACAGTCATTGCTGTCATGAGCTCACAGCAGCTATGGTCCTGTCAATTAGTTGATGGATGAAAGCGGAGGATCTCATGGGAACCTAGTCCATCCTGCTGAGCTGGTAAAACTACTGATGGATTCTGGGAAAGGGATAAGCATTGTCTGCCATTGTATTCCTCCTGGTGAGCCCACCAACCTCTGATAGATAGACCGAATTAAATTCTATGGATACCAAAGCAAAAAAGATAGCAAAACAAAAAGACATGAATGTAATCAAAAGGTATCATATAAACACATTCATGAAATTGTCAAAGAACAACTGTCAATAAAAGAATAAAAGTTATTAAAAAAATTAAAATTTACATCAAAATCTCAACTTGTCCCAAAGATTTGAAATTATTTCTTTTATCTTTTCAAAAATATATGTAAATATATTCTTTTCAGCTGCTTCCTTTATATTTCTCATTTTTTCTTCATAATCTCTCCTTGCAGAATCAATTTTTGCCTGCTTTTCTTTTTCTAATATATTCGCATATTCCTTTTCTATTCTTTCAATTTCATTAATGAGTTCTTGAGTATAAGTTTCCATCAGATTCCTTAGATGTAGATTCAGCTTGTTGTCTACGTCCTGATATATGCGGTCAGAAAAGTAAGACCCTCCGTTTGTGTCCACCATGTTCTCTATCAGCTCCACCAGCTGCTGCACTTGGTCTTCTTGCTCAGCCGCACCTGCTTTGTTATTGAAGGCCAGGTAGCGGTTCCCACACTGCAGGATGATATCATTTAGCTTTTCACCTGCTTCAGCTAAAAAGCTGTCAAGGCTCTGGTCTTCAAGGGCATCTTTGTTAGTAAACAAGACAATCATGTACTTCATGGCTGCCTCCCCAAAAATACCCTTGATCAAATCAACAGTTTTCTGCTCTTCCTCAGTGTAGCGGCCCAGCTGCAGAACCAGGATGATGGCATGAGGCCCAGGGCAGGAGTAGAGGACACAGCGGCTGATTTCTGAACATGTAGTTGACATGGCCTCCTGGGTGTCAAAGAGCCCGGGAGTGTCGACCACAACAAGGACTCTCTCCTTCCATGTCCTGGATGCTCTCTGGCAGGTCTTGGTAACAGCATGGGCAGCAATCTTAGACTCAAACTGGCGTCTTCCAAGGATGGTGTTTGCTGTAGCACTCTTTCCATTTCCAGTTTTCCCTACCAGAATGATCCTCATATTAGTGTTTGCATGGCCAGCCATGTTGGGGTAAGCCGACTCTGAAGATAAGGAGTGCACAGATCTTAAGGAACAGAAAGAAACAAAAACAGCCTATTAGATAAAAGGAAACAACCCCCAAACCTTCCTTTTTTGCCTTTCCTCCCTGAAATTTGGCAATCTTCTGTTATCTTTATACATCTCTATAGAGACTCAAAGGTGAAACATTGCTATGGAAAAAAAATGGAGAAATTAAAGTTTCTCCACAGAAAAATGATGTTCCATATGGTTCCACAGGAAAATCCCATTGGCATGTGTATGGCAGTGTTCCCACAGAGGTCAGAGGATGACTCCGTGGTTTTGGCTCTATCCTTTGACCTCATGTGGGTTCTGGGCATGGAAATCCAATTGCCAGGCTTGCATAGGAAGTACCTCTACATGCTGAGTCCTCTCATTAGCACCCACTCTCCCAGGACACTTTTAAACCTCTGATAATCTGGATGACATTTAGACTGATCTTGATAGCATGAAAAAGCTATTCCTACTCTTGTTACCAGTGTCCATGGCAATATTGGAACAAGTGTGCCTGGGCCTGTCCAGTGTAAGGTCTGAGAGTGAGTGCAGCCAAGTCTCTACTGTGCCAAATACCTGAAAGCCCAGCCAGGAAGAACAGTGGGGTGAGTATAGTGTTCAACAATTTGCTATATATTTTGTGACAATCTAGGAGAGGCATTCAAAGACTCCAAACATAAAGAAACAATAAGGAAGGCTGAGGCAGGTGGATCTCAATGAGTTTGTAGCCAGCTTTTTCTACAGGGCAAGTTCCAGGACAGGCAATGGTACATAGAGAAATTCTTCCTTAGATAGAGAAATAAAGAAAGAAAGAAAGAAAGAAAGAAAGAAAGAAAGAAAGAAAGAAAGAAAGAAAGAAAGAAAGAAAGAAAGAAAGAAAGAAGAAAGAAGAAAGGAAGGAAAGAAAGAAAGGAAGGAAAGAAGAAAGGAAGAAAGAAGGGGGAATAAGAAAGTGGAGGTGCTCATTTTCCTGATTTGACAAGTACAGAGTTTAATATTTGTCTTTAAATATCACACTAAAATCAGAAATATGTTCACTTTTCACATGTTAATAATAAAATAATATTATAATTATTTATAATTGTAATAATTATACATTATTATTAATAATAAAATAAATAAATAAATAAAACCCCAGAATAGTTAAAACATTCCTGAATGACGAAAGAACTGGTGGAGATATCACCAGCTCAGATTTTGAGGCCTACTACAGGCCTGTAGCAATAAATGAAAACATCAAGCAGGAAGGAAACCAGGGCTCTGAGGCACAGGCAACTGCATGTTCACTCTAGGCTAGGCTGTGCCTTCAGGGGCAGCTAATCTGACCTCAGCAGCCTTCCTCCATTCAAAGGCAGACAGCTAGCTACCCATGCAAATCTGTCTGTTGTACAGTGGGGAGGAGTCAGCACACTGACTGGCCACCTAAGGCAGTAACATTCTGAGGTAAGAGAAGTGACTTAGACTGATCTGAGTTGTCCCCCAACCCTGAAGACCCTGTCTTGGGGACAGGGAACTTTCTATGAAGGTTGTCAGACTGCACTCTGTGTCCTACAGCAACAGCCAGCTATGGCTGGAGCACAATGCAATATGCTAATTCATCTCCCTATACCTCTTGGCCCCACCACTCCCAGCAGCAGCTCCCTTCCTGTGTTTCTTCAGGCACAATTCCTCCACTCCCATGGATGCCCCAGCCCCTCTGCCTTTCACTGCAAGCTCTCTGCAGCCAGACTCACCTACTGCTTCTGCAGGAACTGGTGAGGGGTCAAGGTCTTGTGCTTCTGCTTAACTATGAAGCAAAAATGCCTGCAATCCTCAAAGCCAGCAGGTCAGGAAGTTCTATGGGCGGAGCCAATGAAGACACTGTTTGCTTTTAAAGAAACCAAGACACCATCCTGTAACTTAGTGGGGGCTGTAGCTTTGTCAAGTTGAGGCCTTTTCTTTGTCTGTCTGCTATAATGTCAAGAACTTATAAATGTTTTTCCTAACTGTTTTGTATTATTTTTTTGTTTTTGACATTACAGCCTTAATGTAGCCCAGGCTAGTCTTAAACTCACTATGTGCTGAGGGTGATCTTAATTCAAAGCTGAGACCCATGCCCCAGACTTGCCCATGCCCCAGACTCCTCTTAGCACAGCAGGAGTGGGCAGCTCCCTACCCAAATCAGGCCTAGGCCTACTCAATTCCATAGAGACCAAGGCCACCTCCTGTTAGAGTCAGTTAAGCTTCTGCATCCTGCCAGAGAACTGGCTTCTCAGAAACCACCTGACTGGCAGTCTGCTAATCTGACTGATAGGCTTGGAAAGCTCCAGCCCCAGCTATAGCACTTCCTCCTACATGCTTTGGTATTTGAACTGGTGAGTCAGTAGTAACACTGGCCTGTCTTCCACCAGGTCAACATATGTAAATTAGGTGCACTTCCTCCCTTGTTCCTTTGTCTCCCCTCCCTTGACTTGAGCTATATAAGCTAGCCTGCTTACTTCAGGAAGTGAGCTCTCTCTGGAAGCAGTGTCTGGGGTGCTCATACCTGCCACACTCACCACAGACCCTGCTCCCAGCCTCTCTGCATCCTGAGACTGCCCATGCACAATGGCTAACTGAGGTTGGGAGACTCACATCTGGCACTGGCACTGGGACCCTCTGGGACACTAGGAAGAGGGACAGTACTCCCCTCCAAGGAGCGTTACTGTTTGCCCTTGCATCCCCCTGGGGGTCAGCTGGTTCTTCCTCCTTTTTACTTTCCAACTATGAGGAAGGGGCAACTGACATCTTTTGGCTGGGGCTACTCCCTGGCATTGACTGAAGACCTTCAGTCCTCTAGTCAAACCCTGACAGCCCTTCAGACATCAGCAACAACCACCTCTCTAAATCTCTGAAAGAACCCAGTAAAGCAAGGACCAGAAAAGGCCATTAGAGCAGCCGCAGGTTTTCTTCAAATTTTGGGCAGGCTTGCATGCCAGTCTTGGTTGAATCTCCTGAAATTCCTGTAGTCCTGGAAATGTTTCCCCTTTGACTGAGCACTTGTTTCCATCCTTCTCTGTCATGGAAAATTTCACTTCTCACCAGGAGTTCCAAATTAGGGTCTTCAGGCCCTCCTCAATCTGCAGGGGTTAAACTCTATCATAAACAATTATCTTCTGGAAAGAGGTCCTACAATTAGCTCCTTAGATGATCTCCAGCAACCCCTATGACACCCATCTCTGGTGACTTACTTTTCACAAAGTTGAGAAGTCCAAGAAGGCCTCCAACTCCTTCACTATCACTGCAGCCCCATGTAAGGTTTGAGTGTTAAGCCCAGCAAGAGCCTAAATATAAGAAGGTATGAAGAGAACTCAAGGAACTAATCATCCATCAATACAAAATCGCAAGAGGTTCCTCTTGACCATTGCGCAATGGGGTCACCCCTGCTGGTCAGGAAGGAGTGGCACCGGGAGACAAAGACCTTAGGTTTTTAAAAGACAAGGTGCAGGGAATTCTAGGGGTTGCCTTCTTGGCAATTCATGATTGGATGAGGTATTTAACTTTTAAAATAATTGGTTGGTTCTGAGCACCCTTAGGTCTGGTCAGCTCTGTCGTAAATATTTGATCTTCAAGTCAGTTTGGAATTTTCTGCCATATGAGATATAGCCACAATTAAAGGTGGGAGAATGTTTAACTCATCCCTTGTCTGTTCTGAGGAGTGGGGGTTAGAGGCTTTGGATCAAAGGTCAGGAGAAGGATTGGGGCCATTTGGCCCAGTTTCCAAACAAAGCTCATCTCACAGGAGCCAGCCAGTGATTTTCTCTCCATTTAGTAGAGATCTCTGCTTGTTCTCTTCCTTATATCTGCCCTCACAGATGGCTAATGTCAGAAACTTTTACATTCCTCGGCTCTCTGGAGAAGCACTAAAAGGCTTTAACTAACATGGGCCTAAAACTTGAAAATATATGTTATAAGGCAATTAAAGAGACATAGGTTACAAAGTTAGTCTGATTCTTTCATGAGTACCTCTCAGAAGGAAATTAAGGATGAAACCTCTTACTACCAGCAATGACTCTAACAAGGAGAGCCCTCAAAAACCAATCTGTGGCAAACTTCGCTAACCTTAAATGAGCCATTGACTATATTAGACAGAAAGTGACTCCTGACCTCTTCATACTCACCTATATTTACCCCCCATTGTTGTCTTATGCCCCTCCTGCCTCGTCTTCTAAGAGCACTCATAAAACTCTTGAAACTCTACAACTTCCACCCATCCCTAACTACCACCCAACAATTATTCTAGTCCACAATGAAAATTAGGCCTTGGCTTTCCCTGCTAATATTCAACCTAATCACGCTCAGCCCCTAGACCTGTATTCCTTCTAAGCCAAAGAATTAAAAGAGCTTATACTAGTGGTATGAGAGGGTAGTGGAGTATTTATCCCCATAAGACTGGCAGAATACCAGTCAGTCCTTCTTGCCTACTCCTCTGTTCTTTCAATGGGAAGCTTTCTATAGGGATGAATGCCTCCAACAGATCAAAAAAAAAAAAAATCAAAACCAACACCAACAAAATATCCCTTGAGGCTTCGATGAGGTTTTTGGCCAAGGTAGTTTCTCCACAGGAGCAGAACATGTTTTTCAAGCTCTGGGGTACTCTGATCAATTATGTCTATCTGGCAGGTGTGGTTCAGTTGCTCCATAAAAGGATCAGCTACCGCTTTGTCTCTCTCTTGTCCTCTCATCTCTTGCCCTCTCCCCTTTCTCTGTCAGGGTGGCTCCCTCTCTTCCCCCTATCATGTCTTACTCTCTCCTTCTCTCTCTCTGTTCATCTCCATCTAACAAACCTCTTTCATATAAAATCTGTGCACATCATCATTTTATTTGGTCCTAACATTGGTGTTTTGGACGGGAATTGAACCTGGCTCAACTGCTTGGAAGGTAGCTATGCTCGCCACTATACCACCAATGAATCCAAAGATACATTTTACAATATATATGATTCAACACTGGTTCAAAATAATTTTCATATGATGATAAAATTTGAAAGTTATAAAGGTCTACTCAAATTAAGCTGATTTAAAATCTACGTTTAACTGCCTATGTCTTTATCAATTCCTAAATTAATAAATGCTATTTCTCCCACCACAAGCTACTTGTGATCTGGATTCACCACTAGGTTTTCCAGCCAATGGGTTTGATATAATAAATTCAAGTGTCACTTTAAAATTGATTTATACTGTTCTACTATATTGTTGGCTTTAAAACTCATAACTCAGGGGTTACTATGTACAAGTTTTTACCAATATTCTAAATTAAGATCTATTAACTTTCAAGGCATTTATGTTAAAACTTGATCATTGTGCTATATCTTCACTATCAAAAGGTTAAAATATGCTTGATCTTGTTTTCTAAAAATGGTATTATTATTAATCTATAGTATAGCCTTAGACTTTTGTAAGCTATAAACTTTTTATATACTACATCATACAGAAAACTGTTATGCTCTCACTTTAATGGACTATATTTGTAACTTTTAAGGCCCCAACTTAACAAGGACAAAGCCTAAAGTCCTAATACTTGATGGTTAAGGAATGCAAGTTAATAGTCATCTCCTAGATGATCAAGTCCTCCAACATGTCCAAAGATATATTTATAGTCCTACAGATGCAAACATGGTCTCACTGCCATCTTTAATAAACAGCTAAGGATGGTCCTTGAGTCACCAAACAGGAGTTGGTAAAAATAATATTTTCTTTTGGAATGTATACACTTTAACCCTTGTTCATTCAAATGCTGATTTCTCTCCCCCATTCTCTGGTTTCAATCCAGACATTGCATTGTGATACTTATTCTAAGCATCACATGTCTCAACTTTGTGTAAACATGCTAAAATAAAACAACCAGCCACATGTTGAGCAATGGAAAGGAAGCAGGAAGAGAGGGAGGAGCCAGAGGAGAGGAAGGTGTGGGAGGCAGAGGAGGAGTGGGCAGCAGGAGTGAAGTTGGGAGAAGAGAGAGCTGGGAGGCAGAGGCAAGAAGAGAGGTCTTGGAACGATGTGGAGAATGAACCAGACCTAAGATTTCACTAAAAGCAAGTATAATGTGAGAAATCTAAATGTTAGGAAACTATGAGGGCTTGGAGGTTTAGGATGGAGTAACTATTGCCCAGAATTATGTTCTAGGTAATTAAATAAATCATAGTCCCTATGTGGTGATTTGTTTATACAGCTGTTTAGGATTAGCAGCAGCTTTTCCAAAAGATATATCAATAGTAAATATTAATATTTTCTTACAACAGAGAGGAGCTTTCCCAACAGGCTCATCTACAGCAAAAACTATGCTCCAGACCTTGGCTGTTTCTCTGAGGCTGTTGGTATTCCCACCCGGAAAACAAGAGCTCTGCAATGCCCCCATCCTGCCAGGGTATAGCCAAAAGTCAATTCCACCAGGTGACTGTTTCAAATGCAGCCAAAGGAGACACTGGTCCCTCAGCTGCCTCAACAAGTCACTCACTGCCTGATGGCTGATTGGCCTCTGGAAGTCAAAATGCTCCCATGGAGGCTTGTCCTCTGTGCCCAGCCATGGAGGCTCAACCAGCACAAGAGCCATAGACACTTCCAGCCTTCCAGCTCCTAGGCCTGGTGGGGGACCAATGGTTCCTTGATTCAGTGACCTCCACCACCCTCACACAGCCCAGTGTAACATTGCAGGCATGTTTTGGCCTCACACTGGGGTCCCATGGACTTATTGCCAACTTTTGTCTTGGGATACTACAGATGCCTTCCCAGTTCTCTTTATATGCAGGAGATCAGGCCTTAAGC